ACTAAATGAGTATCTTTGCCCCTTTGTTGAGATATTGAAGATCAATCAATTAGTTTGTCATCATCCATTTGAAGTATTCTTTCCTTCTCTAGCAGACTCCAATTCTGAGGGTCTTTTTGGGGGACCCATTAGGCAGGCTATGGCCAGGCATAGAGAAAGCATCCTTTTGATTTTCCAGGCCAGAGTCACCAGTGTTGTTCCCCTCCACCTCCTCTACTTCTGTCACCTACTTATACACTTACTCTTAGTCACCAACTGTCCTTTGCGCCTTCTGTACTTTCTCCTGCCCTCATTTCTGGTGACCCAAAATGTCTTTGTGCTGCTTTACTTTCTCACCTGTAGCAAATTTGGTTTTACTTCAATTTACCTCCCCATTTGTTCTTGTACCTCAGAAATTCAAGTTGCTTTTGTCCTCTTAATCTCTCTAGTTTCCCATTAAAACTGAGACTTTACTCCACTGAATTTTTTATTTTATGAATGAAGTTCTCTGCTTTCCATTTTTATACTTTAAACTTGGTAGTTTTTCTTTTACTATTAAGAGTTTTATTGCCCTGTTAGGGAACATATCTCTTTCTTTTCAAAATTAACTGGCAGTATCAGCACTGCTTGATCACAAGGATGTATGTTTCTTGTGAGTGGAACCTTTACAATGAATGCTATGTTCCCAAACCCACAGTGGGAGTTCTCCTTAAAATCAGTGTTAGGCTCCAAGGACACAAACAATGCTACACATCTTAATTAAATTTTCCTTTCTCAGGTTTCACAAAAATATCTCAGAAATTTGTTTCTTATCAATCCCCTTTTTATACAGAATGCTATTTCTTGTAGCTTATAATACTGTCTAGGGAGCAGTTTGCCGATACTTCTGACATTGATTTCCTCTTTCAAGAGACTTTGGCATGTGTTAAATATGAACCTTCATTTGCAAAACACCTTGGTGCAAACATGTAGGCTCCATGCCACTGATTATATACACTCTGAAATCTTTTGTCAATTTTAGGACAATTTTAATAGTATTTTACATATAATACTGCAATAAGTATTTGTTTCTAAGAATTCACTGTAGATGCAATCTCTTGTCAGGATGATTAAAAGTGGATAAATTTACTACATATTCATCATATTCTAAAGCATGTTTTGAAGAAATAAATAATTCTACATTTAGATCATATATTAAAAGTCATGATATTTTTATATTGCTTATAGAGCGACTCAATTTTTATAACGCTTGTTTAATAGCAGGATTATTATTGCAGCTAATATGAATCATCATAATTACATAAATGATGGATATGAGAATGGTGTGCCTAACCACAATACATATGATATCTATAGCTATTGACAGATTTTCAAGTGGGATATAGGGAATTATGATTGTGGTAACAGAGAGGAAAGATCAATTATTTATTTTATGTGGGGGAGTTATAGGTCCGATGTGAAATGGACTCATTATTTTTCTCTTATTCTCAAAGACTCCCTCCAGTGAGCGTCTATTGATCCATCTTCACCAGAAGTATTCCCTTACTGATGGATCAGACATTTCTATGCTTGAATTCAAACTTCTTTTATCAGAAAGATTTTGTTTTCATTTGCTCAATTATTTACTTTTCAAAAATTGAGATTTTCATAATCTTAGTACAAAAGCAGGCCAGGCATAAACTCTGTAATCTTTAATAAATTTGGTTACTTTGTCCATTTAAATGCAAACCAATCCAACCTCAGTAGATAAAAGTGGGAAATAAAAATTCTAGAATAAACAAAAGATATAAAAAAATGAGACAAGACAGCTGCTAATCAACTCCACAATATTGTCACTCTAAGAAGAGGAGAGCCTGGTTTTTTCTTAATTGTAATATTTATTTTGTTTTGTGTTTGTGTGTGTGTGTGAGTGTATGTGTGTGTGTGCACGTGTGTGGTGTGTACATACACATAAATGCATATATTTAATTTTAAAACACTTTTTAAATATATTTAATTTTAAAACACTTTTCAGGAGAGCAAGTATTCACCAATATCATGCCAGCTAATAATAACCATAATATTACTTATATTAGGGTATACAAATCATATTGTAAAATAAATTAAAATATCCTTTTGTTTATGAAATTTATTTTATAAAAAACACTGAAATGTAATTTTACATTGTATAAACAATCACACAATATTTTCCAAAGCTATTCAATGTAAATTGTTAAAAGAAGTCATAATATATATGAATATATATTCAGATTTCAAAAGAAATAGATAATTCTTTTGGCCTTGAAATTTAGTGTTATAATTTTTTCTTTTGATTTTAATATGATGTATTGAGAATATTGTGGAAAGGAAATACATAAGAAAATAAATTGATTCTGTCTTTCAGTTGGGAAATGTGAGGGGAAAAGTTCATCAAAGAAGAACTGAAAAGTAGACTAGCCCAAGAGCAAGAAAGAAGATTGAAAAGACATACTTTAAAAATTATAACCATTAATGATATTTTTAGAGGTAGTGATTCAAACAATCACCCAGTGAATTTCCCCTACTCACAAAGAAAGTTGGATTGAAGAACATTGGTCTGACACTTAATCTCTTCCTATCAGGCAGGACCAGTCACCATGTTTGATCAGAGAATCAAAGCAAAAAGACATTTAAAAAAAAAGAAGAAGAAGAAAGCTAGGTAATAGAGTAGGATATACCAAAATGCAGATGAGGTAGTGCTTTTGTGTATTTTTAACATCTCAAAGTGCTGTGTAATAAGTAGTAAGAACAAGAACCACAGAATTTCTAGGCTGAAACAAGGGTCTATAGATAATTAAAATATGTACTTTAAGCAATTAAAATGGTTCTAAAAAATGAAAGTGTTTCTGAGCAGCACACGCCAAAAGATGCCTCTCGTGGTACATTCAAATTAGCTATTATGAATTGAAGATTAATTGATAGTACTTGTTGTCCATTGCTAAAAAACATTCATGCTTGGCTACAAACCATGGTGATGTATGCAAAAGAATATGAATGGAAATTATGCGAGCCAAACAATGATGACGAATTGGAAACAATAATAAACTTTTGCTGATTTGTAAACTAAATTTATGATTGTGCATTCTAGCTAAAGTCAAGGTCTTTCTTTATTGGGCACATTATATTTGGTTCTTATGTATGGATATAACAAAAGGGTAACATGTAAAAAACAAGAAATAAATGGACTTTTATGTGAAAATGAATTAATATAGAAAAAGTTTAATCACATATTCTTCATGTAAAAATAATTTGCCTTGCAATAAACAGAAGTTTTTTTATTTTATAGTTATTGTATTTCTTTTTATTGCTACATAGATACACCCCCACAATACCTCTTCCCTTTAACTAAAATAAGAAACTGTTTTATGCTTCTCCCTGCTGCTAGTTGAGAAGTCTGAGTAACAAAAATGCATTAAGGCAAGCAGGATTTGCCTAGACATCAATAAACTGGGAAGACTCCCGGCAGGCCATTTGTAGTGTCAATAAAGGCTCATAATGACTGATGCTCCTTGGTGCTTTTTAGAGCCAGCCCTTTGCTTGGCTGTGTTGCTGAGATTAGGCTCTCAAAACTTGAGAGATTTTTAATTTAGTAAACCTCAAATAGGGACCGACATGCATCAGCCAGGAACTCGGGTTTTACAGCAAGCTTTCTCATGCTACTTCTATAAACTTCGGCAGCTGGGCAAACTCTATCCCTGAACTTCTGGAACCCCAGGTTCTAAAAAAGAGAGTGATGTGTTTTCATCTCTGGCTGCCCCAGGAGTTACTCAGAATTCCTCATCCAGTCCAAGGATGTTCAAGCCTGGTGGTGGGCCGCATTGTTTCCTGATGAGGAAAGTGCAAACTTAAATGGCTTGCGTGATGGACTACCAGAGGCAATGCTCAGTCTTAAGGAGCAGGAATTCAGACGTCAGAGCCTCAGGGATCTGGGGGTTAAGGCACACAGATAGGAAGGAATCTGGCTTCCAGGCTCTGTCTCCTGCTGTAGAAGAGTGCAGATGGTAGGTGTGATAAGCCCCTGCAGTCAGCTCCCTCGGATGTGCCGGAAACTAGGGAGGAGAGGTGCTCACACACGAAACTCAGAAAGCGCGCCAGCTGCACAATACAATAGGGATAAGGAAAATGGGAGGAGGGGTGAAATTCAGAGGCCAAAACACTTGAGTTAGATTTTCAAGACGTGTCTGCCGGTCCTGCTTTCAACCCTTCCGTTCTTCTTCTCTTGGACTGAGAATGTTTGTGGGTGTGCCTGAGTCCAGTCCAGAGGTCGCTGCTTTTTCTCTGAATTCTGGTTCTCTGCAGTTAAGTTTAAATGGCAGTGGATTTTCCTACGCTTCTTCGTGAGTAGTTTCCAAATGACAACGAGAGGGTCACACAAATACCCATAACGTTCATAAGGCCACCTCTGACTTCACTGGCTTACCGCAAACCTCGAGCTGGGATCCTCATTACACACCCATTCTGGCCGAGACCAGCTCATTGACTCCCGTGAATATTTGTATTTTCCAGACGGAGTTGTGCACTGAATAATGAACGTCCTCCTTCTACTTCCCTGCTGGATGTCACTCTACATCGGACAGGTTTATTCGCTAGTGCGATCATGTATGTTTAGCAAACACGCTTTCCGTAACAGGCTCCTTTCTCATCCCTCCCCTAGTCCTATCCATGGCATTCCTCCGGTGGGATGAGTCTCTCTTCTTTCTCAGATCCGACACACTCTTTACATTGATCTAGCCAGATAGTCCGGACGCTCGTGGATCCGTGGCGTTGTCGTTTAGGCGTCCTAGGAAACGGTAGGAGTGTGTCTGTGTGTGTCTCTGGGTTTTTGAGTATGTGCGCGAGAACGCGCGCGCGTGCGACAGTGAGCTTCCTCCCCCGGCATAGTGCAGACCGTGCCCACGACGTTACTCTTCTAGCAGCCGCCAGCAACGCAAGGCAACAGCAGCCTCCGCCCCCTCAGCCCGGTGATTGGCTGGCCTTGCTTATCCGTTCCCTGTTACGGCGAGGAAAGGGCCAGTGACGCCCCCAGCCCAGCTGCAGAAGCGAACGCCACCTCCTATGCACAAGGTGTCACATTTGAAAAGAAACCTGAGCCCCAGGGAGACGGCGCCTAGCGACCCTGGCCTGGCTAGTGCAAACTGCGCGGCAGGGCGCTGGGCAGCGCTGGGGAGCCCAGAGAGCTCCACCGCAGAACATCCTAGCGACCTGATTCTGGGATCTCATCTCCACGCTCCCTTCGCAATTTTCAGATTTCTCCCCCTCGCTTATTTCCCCAAAACGGAGCCTTTATACCAGGAGAAGGTGCTGGAGTTGGGGCAACCAGGACTTTCCCGGGCACCCAAGATGCGCTCCATTAGAAAACGGTGGACCATCTGCACTATAAGTCTACTTCTGATCTTTTATAAGACAAAAGAAATAGCAAGAACTGAGGAGCACCAGGAGACGCAACTCATCGGGTAAATGCATGTTCAGGATATGACACAGTCAAGCCATAGTGAAATGTGCACAGAGTGACGTTTGGATGGCTGTGTGTGTTGGTTTGAGCTTGTGTATGGCTAGTGCCATGAATTAAATAACAATGGCTCTTTGGAGGTGTGTGTGTGGGGATGGGGGGGAGTTCCATGCTGTTTCCTGTATGAGTTTAACTTGTCTTGTCCTGTGCGGTGGTGGTGGTGGTGGTGGTGGCGGTGGTGGTGATGGTGGCGGTGGTGACAGGTATATTGGCAAAGGGTGCCGCTTACCAAAGAAGTCACTGCAGAAGTGTCAACAAAGAACGTGTGCCCTTGTCATTTTAATGCTTGAGCAGAACTCAGGAGATGTCTTTACTGAGTCCTTGTCTTTCCTCCCTTCTGTGTCCTGCCAGTCTAGGAAAATACTATAAAAAGCGGCTTTCTTGAAAGGCAGAAGTTTAAGTTCACAGAAGAGGAAATGGCTCTTCTTTACTCTTCCTTGCTTGTTTGTTTTTGATTTTGGTGGTGGTGGGAGGCGCCTGTGAGATCTGTCTTCTTTCTTCTTTAATTAGCAATTACAGTGCCAATAAGGGTGATACCTTACTTGCTCCTCCACGGATAAAACTCCTGAGTTTCGTGGTTTCTGTTTTAGAAGAGCACTATGCCTTCACAGTCTGTTTTCTCTTTCTTGAGTTTGTCAAGATGTGTTCAAAATCTCCGCCCCATTAAGTTCTGTAAAGATCACACTTCCTTCCTCTCTCCCCTGGCCTCTCAGCCTTTGAAGTCTCTGGAGAGCAGACCTCCTTGTAACTTCGTGTCTCTGATTGACTTGGAAGCTTTTTTTTTCTGAGGATATGGTCCTGCTTGTCAACTCTGTTAAAAGTCCTGTTTCGGAAATCCTTCCAAGCTCAGAGGTTTCCGCAGTCGGAAAGAAACTGCCCTGGCTGAGATTTCCTTCTGTTTTTAAATTGTCTCTGACATTGTTTTAAAGGAAGAAGGATGCTTGCCATTTTTGTTTGCGCGGGGGCACGGGACTGGTAACACACACACACTGTGAAACTTTACGCAGCTCTTTTCTTAATATCCCTGCTCCTCTGTGAGTAATCAGCCGCATTTAAGTGAGCAAGACTCAGGTGTATCCTCGCGGAAAGACTTGCCAGTCTGTACAAAGCTAGCCTAACAGTACCACATTCAAAGGGGACTGGAGGAGAAAGGAAAGCTAATAAGGAGTAGGCTGAATGGTCCTTATGCTTCAGCGAACCTATTCAAGGTCTGTATCAGAGAAAATAAAATAAATAAATAAATAAAAGAATCATGTGAGGTCGTTTACACAGAAGTGGGTGGTTTGAAGATCCACGTCAATGGTGGGAAAGAAAAAATTGGGAGGGGTGTGGGCATCCCCAGCAGACCTGTTTTTGCCAGGCAGACAAAGGGGTCTTGAAGGTGGTGAACTCGCGAGTGGGAATTCCTGGGAGAGGCGGAGGCTGGGGCTTGTGAGTAGAGGCTCTTTGTTCCCTTCTGAACTGATGGGTTCGGAAGATGAGCCCCAGCCTAGACAAAGCAGCCTAGCCTCCCCAGGACTCCAATGGTTGGAGACCCTGGTGAGCAGGAGTGGGCGTGGCGACGAGCAGGGTCTCCAAATACTGGAAAGGAATCATTTCCTAGCTTGGGTAAACTGCCTCCTGGGAGGAGGCATGCACCCCAGTGCCCTGGGGCGGGGGGGGGCGAGGGGGGCGGTTAACAGATCCAGGACGTTCCACGTTTCACAGTGACATGTCTTCTGTGGCCTTTTTCTGGAAAACCTTTGGAGGGTGGGCGCAGCGCTGGGGGGCACTAAACGGAGGTGGGGAACCTCAAGCTGCCACACCTTGGCTTGGTAGCTTTACTAAGCCTTGGCCTTCACCCTTCGCCCGCTGAGCTGCAGTTTCTTTGGTCCGAGACAATTTGAAAAGGCTAGAGGCAGTCACTTGAGTTAACAAAACAGGAAGAGAGGTGTGCCTCGTGTCTGTGTCTAGCCTTTCCTCTCAGAGAACTAGCAGCCAGAGCAGGATGAAAGGAAATGGATTGGAGGGTGCATCGTTTCTGAAAGGAGTGAACCTTTTGTGACAGTCAGACAAAAAAAATTCACGCTCAAAGCTCCTCCTCTTTAAATAAAACCGGCAACTGCAGTCCTTTCAGAACAAAACAGGGACCTGGTTGTGGCGATAATCCCCGTACACGTGCTGGAGGAATTCTGACTTCCAGGAGTTCCAGACTCAGAGGCACAAGGTGGAGCCAGTGTGGCCAGGAGCAGTGCAGGGAAGCTGTTGTCTCCGGACATTTATTCCTTTTCCTCCAGAATGAAACATTACGGGAGAAAAGCTTGTGACCCGAGCACATGCTTTTCTCTCAGCTCCCCAGCCCTGCCTCTGGTGGAACAGCTGACTCTCAGCTAACTCGTCTCTCTTCCCTCTGCGAGCTTATGAGGAGAGACCGCTTTTGAGGTGACTCAAAGAACCAAGGGGCTCTGGAACCCAGACCAAGGCTTCATTTAGAAGGGAAGTAACAGAGGCAGTGTACAGCCTTTGGGGGGCACTGCATGCCTTGCAGGTGGGCCGTAGTGTCAACCCAGTCCTTTAACCTTAACATTCCTCTGGGTTCATATTCAATGCCCCCGTTCCCATAAGAATTTCCTAGCAAGCAGTGCCTGTTCAGCCCTTCCTCCTCTAGCAGACCCCAAGCAATCAGTGCAGCAAAACTCTTTGTCCCACTTTCCCATTTTTTTTTTCTATGTTTGTCCGAATATATTGGAAATGGCTTTGCAGATTCCCACATGCAATACATGCACATGGCCATCTGATGAGGAAGGAATTCGCAAGTGTGACAAAGTTAAATGGTGTAGAGGTGTCTGTTTGGATTAGATTTCCCAGAACTTGCTTAGCCGACTAAAATAAGACTTAAGCATCCTCGCCCCCCCCCCCCTTGAGTCTGCTTACATTAGATTACTAAATTATCAACAGTTATGACTTCTGGCGTTCATAAAACTGATAGGAAAGTTAAACACTGGTGCTTAGACTATGCATAGGACAAGTTAGTTTCAATTTGTTTAAAGGTAGAAGGTGGTTTTGGAAATCAGCATTCCATGGTTTCCACTTTACATCATAGATTATAATTACGCTACACTATATCTTATCCTTATTTGTTTGACACTCTAGGAATAAAATACGGAAATACCCCCTGCCTGGATTTGAACTTAGATATTGTTTTCAGAAGTTTAAAATAATGAGGAAGCTTAATCTAGTCACATTCATTCCAAAGCTAAGTAGTCATTAGGAGCTTCAGTGGGATGGTACTTGGCTGTGGAGACCTAATATCCAAAAGCATATTTAATATCACCTTTGTCATGTAGATCAGAACTGAAGAAATTAAGATTTGCAAAGTCTGAAAACTCATATCAAGGAGAAAGTACCAACAAAAGATTTGTAGATATAAAGTGACAAAAGTAAGACTATCCCCTAACTGTGGATGTTAAATATTATCATCTTTGTTGGCTTTTTGCAGCACGGTAAGCAGGAATACTGGAAAATTAGAATCTTTAGAACTGAGTGATTTCTTTGACATCTTTAGACTCTTCCCTTTTAAATTTGCATGTTGAATGTTTGGTAGCTGTCTCTGTGCCAACAAAAAAATGTTTCCAGTGCAGCTGTTCAGAAGACATGTCCGTACTAGAAAGAGAAGCAAGCAGTGGGTGAAAATATCCATCATTAGGCCTCGAGTTCATGGGAAGGTAATCTGTGCTAAGACAGAGTGGAACCAACATCATGTACAAAAGCATCCCTTGGGACCTGTCTAGCTTTGCAGAAAAAAAAAGTATTCTCTCTAGGCTCAGATGACTCTTCTGAGAGTAAAAGAGAAGTCTGAGGACTTGTACCCACGCATTACCCTTCAAGGTTCTTTCCAATGACAAAAGCCTGATATGTGGCCAATCACCAATTTAACAGAAACAGTTCAAGCAGTGAAGCACTGTGGTGGCATCGTGTCCACAGAAAGCGGACTTTTATGGTTTAAAAATTGCTGTTTGAATTTTGATTTCAGAAGTTCTTATAAGGCTTCATAGAACCGAGTATATCATTATGAAAGCCACTGAACAGGTAGAAATACACCCGTGATTAAGTGCCATAATAATACATAAATTCAAAAAATTCAATCTCATGTGCAATTTTACTTCTATGAAAACAAATTGGTTGGGAAAATGATTATCCCAATCTTTGCAATCTGTAGTGGAAAAAAAAAGATATTGACAGCTATTAATGGAGTGAAGATCCTTGTGTCTTCCCACGAAAATAATGATAATTTATGCCTGCTTAAAGGTGCACGCCAAAGTACTAAGGTTAACTTTTGCGCACATCCACATTTTCACCCACATGTAATTATTATCATTAAAAGCATAGTATGAAAATTAATGACTGGATCACTGCTTAGTAAAATATACTCTGTTTCCTAACATTTGAAGTGACCTCTGCAAACGATTATCATTATCCTTGCACAGGCATGCAAATGTGTCATTTTCATCAGTAGAACTGCGTAAAATATTAATTTTTATAGAGTTCCAAGTTTCAGAGGGAGTGGCTTTCCAATGCTTTCAAAAACAGCACAGTGAGTTGCTTTAAATTAAAACTACATATTAACAAAATAATGCAATGCAAGAAACAAGCAACAAGCCTCCCGTTTGAGAATCCTCCAAGAGCTGCTAAAGGCTGGGTTTCTATTGGTAGAGAAAATTCTCTAGGCAATATACACACATGCAGACTTCATGATGTTAACAGTCATGTTGCTTTTTAGTAATGCTATTGAGAGGCAAAAAAAAAAATTGCTCCGTTGTTACAGTAAATAACCAGTACAAATATTGGAAGAGCTAAGCCTTTTCTTCCTCTGCGATAGTGAATGTCCTTCTCATTTTCTGAGTCCTTTACCTGAATCAGAAAGACAAATGTCTCTTCAAGAGTGAACTGCTTAGTTCTACAGGACCTCATGGCTGAGATGAAACAAAACAAAAGAAAAAACTGTCTATCGCCATTGTAACACCACCAAACCCCTAAAATCACCAGTTCACATGGTATACTGTTTACTAGAGAATATTCATTAAAAGAGGTGGTGGCTTTTAAAACAATACAAAAGCACTGTACAAACAGAATAAGTTTTCTTCTCTGTCTCCTGGGAATCTCATCCTTATGATGTTAGAAAACAATTCTTTATAAATTGGCTTTTCATCAATGTTTGAGAAGTTACTTTGTTAGAGAGAAAACGCACAATCTCCACAGTCATTGCTGATTAAATAATGCTACTGCTGTTTGTCATAAGGCTAAGGTAAGACACAGTGACCTAGTGAAGTAGTACCCAAGAATACAGAGCAAACACTGCATGACATCAAGAACATGGGCAGATCTGCTATGCACAAGATTCTCTCTGTAGTCCTCAGTAAAAAGTATTTTCAGTACTTTTATATGAAACTTTACTTTTACCTTCTCTGAAACAAAATTAATTTTGGTGGCCAAAGTCCTAGGCTTACAGAGTCATTGACCAAATATCACACTGCTTATTATGTAAGCAGTGGGGGTGGGGCTAGATGGCATTGTAGCTTTGGTGAGAGTTGTTTTTCTTCAAATGTCCTGAGGTCTGTCTTATACGAAAGCCAGATTCTGTTCTAAAAAAATGTATGTGTAAGTTTGCTGGGCTATATCCATCACTTAACTCCTAGAATATCCCCCTTCATGCTTCTTCTCCCTTCTAACTTGTGAAAATAATATACAATCTTTAATCACTAATGTAAATATAATTGTGTATGGTGACACTTATGTAAAGTGCTTCTGATTCTCACATAGCTTGCCTCTTTGTTTTGTTTCAGAGATGGTGAATTGTGTTTGAGCAGGTCGCTTGTCAACAGCTCTGATAAAATCATTCGGAAGGCTGGCTCAACCATCTTCCAACATTCTGTACAAGGCTGGAAAATCAATTCTTCCTTAGTTCTGGAGATAAGGTGAGTTTCTTTAATAAGCCCCCAAAGTTTCACATCGTGTTCTTAAATATGTTGGGTTTGGCAAACTTATATTGGACACTTGATTTATGGCTTAAGTGTGAATCCTTAATGAAAAAGTGAATCAGTTATATTTAATGTTCCTCATGGAAGAATGTGGAGTCAAGAAATAAAATCATTGCATAGTCAAATTTTCAAGGATGATGGACTTTTGAATATACTATCTTATTATCAGTGGAGTGAAATATTGTGCTAAGTACTAACCTTTAGCTGTTTTTACTCAATTGATCAGGACAGACATTCATTTGAGGAATCATTTTCTTAACTTTTCTTTATTGAGACTTCGTTCTGATCTGACATTTAATCGCATAGAACCGAGTTTCTTTGATTCCTATTGTTTTAAGTATAGATTGGTTTGATTTATTCAGTGTTCATGCCTGTATAATTTCATGTGAAAAGGGGTATAAAAATCAGCAAATAAACTTTCTGAAGTTCTGACTTATTCTTTGCCAGATAGACATTTTAAGCCAGGATGAATTATTGAAGCAAACTCCAATGGCTCCTTATATCCATTACAACACTCGCTTTTATTTCAGCCCAAAGTTAATGAGAGAATTGGGATAGACATTCCCAAGCATGGAGGAAGTAAGAATCTCATTTTCCCTTATACATTCATTGTACCTTTGCTGTGGTTGGTATGCCTAAACTAGAACATTTTGGTAATTAGGAACTCAAGAAGTTTGAGAGAACATATTCCCTATATACATAAAATCATTAGTTTTCAGGGTTTTTTTTCAAAATGCTAATTATTCATTGAAAAAAATACTAACATCAAAATTTTGTAATAGCAACTGACTGATTAAAAAGTGAGGGTCTCATCTAAAAAATCAACTTGGCATTTTTGCCATCTTGTAATACCTTTAGAGTATCTCTCTTGGAGTCTCCCATAAGTAGCTCTTCATTAGAATCTAATATAAGTTAGCAATGAACTAATTATTAGGAATGAGGTGATAGAGGAGCATTACATTAAGTCTCAGAGGTTGATTGTAAGAGAAAAAAGAAAAACAAACATGATTGAAAGAAAAAGTTATTTAAAATCATGGCTTCAAAGAAAAATTATCTGGCAAGAAAGGAGACCTTTATTTTACGTAATGCTACATAGATTCTGTAAAAGAAAGCCATAAAGAGTTATACAAAACAAAATTGCAGTAGTTTAACCAACATACATAGCCATCCTTAAAATGTGTAATGTCCATGAAAATCTAAAAAGTGTATTAAATGAATAATATATCTCCATAATTAATACTTCAGTACATGCATTCCTGACATCTTTTAATAAATGGACTATATATATTTTTTCATGGGACTTTAAATTTACATTTTACTTTTTACTAAGGTAACCAATTCTAAGTTAATTAAAAACTGACTGTTGTGAGTCCTCTTTGAAACTTTATAAATGAATGAAGGCTGCAATTGTAGTTTTGAAGGTGAGCTTTTTCAGTTAATAGCTGATAATGTGAATGAAATGTTAGTACTAGCTATGCTCATATTTTTTTCCCTTAACAGTCAAAGAGGTAAACAATGCATCAGTGAACAAATATTGAATAATACATAGAAAGTTGTCATTTGCAAGAAAGGAATAATTTTTAAATTCATTATTGCAGAATGTGCAAACAGTTCATAAAAATCACAATTGCTTCTAGCAGAAATAACTACTGAGTATTAATCAGTTTGGCACCTGTAATAAAAGATTTAGCATATGAAAACAGCTTGTTGTTTGACTTAGATTTTACAAGTCTGTTACTAATAATCACATCTGTGATGGGGTAGTTGGATACTGTCAAAGTTTCAAGTTTTACAAATATTCTACTTTGAATGCTTTGATTGGCCATTACCTATAATTATTTTTGTCTTAAATAATTGTGTTTTAAGGTTTTCTAGTTTTTCTCAAAATTACGATTTTATTTATAATGATCTAATGATATTTCTAATAAATTGTTAATTTACATTAAAGCTCTCAGTAGTTCTATAGGACCCTTCCCTTATATTTTTGGGTATGAATTGTTTCTAGTGTTCAGTCCTTCATCCCGTTGGTCTGCAAATTTCATTAACACGTCAGGTGTTGACCTACCAGGCAATTGTATGGTGGAAAATTGTCCAAGGAGATTTGAGTTCCTTGTGCTCTGAAGACTCAAGGTTTAAGAACTCCATGAACTTTACAAGCAAATTTACAATCAAAGTGACTACCACATTCTAAGGCTTTGCTGTATTGACAATAGTTTATTTGTGTCGTTGTCTTCAGAAGTGACACATTTCAGCTTCCTTACTTGTGAATAAGGTTGTTAATAATGTCAGCTTCTTCTCAGCGTCTTCGCCTGACCTATTTTGCATATTTTCCTTCTTTTTCTCTTTTCTCAGTTTTCATATAGTAAATAAACAAAACACTAAGAAGTGTAAAATGCCAAATAAAGGTGTAGAAATGAATGAACTCAGCTACTCTCCCAAAACAGCCTAACCAATAATTAGTGAGCTATTTCAGTTTGTCATAGTCCTTAATCATATAAGACAGCTCAACTCAGCAGAAGGGCACATTTGTGTGTTTAGTTTTGTAAAATAACTTGCTGTTACATTTATAGATTTCTTTTCTAAAAAAGCACCACATACAACAGTCGCATCTGAACTGTGATCATCCAGTGATGAGAATGTTAATTGTGGCCTAAGAAGCTCATTTAGCCAGAGTTGGCATTCCAATTCAGAGCTTTGCTGAGCCAGTCTTTTAATGGAAAAATTGCAGAAGATACTATTTAGGTACTAAATGTAGAGTATTCCTTTATGGAGTACACGATATTTATTTGATGTAAATTAACAGAAATTATAAGTTGTCATTATCCAGTTTTACCAAACTTATAGCCAAGTGTGAAATGCTAAAGTGTATAACCAGTATCTTCAATGTATTGGAGTGATTTTAGTTTTCATTTTGTGTGATTGCTTAGGATATTCTTTTTGGTACTAAAACAGTCCCCCGTAACATGTTCCTAAGTTCTGAATTACTACGTAATAAAGGGACTTTGTTCTTTTAGACCTTTGAGGCAAAATGCTTCAGAAGATAGCTTTTAGACAAATTAGTCTTGTAGGGATTATCTTTCCATGTACAGGCAAAACCATGCACTCACCAATTTCTAAGTTCTAACACTGATTCTCCTCTCTCTTTTTTTCAATGCACTGTAACAAATTGATATCAATTTCATTATGATGTGTGTGTGTGTGTTTATACGCAGAAGCTAATTTGATTTTCCACTTAATGTTTCCCCACTGTAAGGAGTGTCACTCAGTGCTTTCTTGGTGGCACAAGTGTAGCTCCAGTGGAATTTCAGTTGCTACAACACGTATTGTTGACAAAATGTACAGAGAAGAGAGAATGGCATGTGATGGTGGTTTAGCTATATTTAACACTTCACAGATGAAAACAGTATGTAGTAAATTAATCCCCTGGGCCTCTGCAGCTGCTCATACAACTGATGGGTGGTGTGGAAAGGGAAGTTCTGGTTGAAACTTCAGTTGAGAAGTTTCTGTGTAGAATCTTTCCTGTCAGTTTAACAGTTCACCAACCTTTTGGTTTAAGTCAACTTTGTCTGGAAAAAAAATGGGTTTTGTGACTAAGATTTTCAGTCTCACTGAAAATGAAAGACGTTTTCAATTTTTTTTCCAGTTTCCATTAAAACAGTCACCGTAAGTGTTGGCTTAACTAAAGACGAAGGTCTGAATTAGAATGACCAAATGACAGTTGGAGATCTGAGTAATCTCCTGCCTTTGTTCTTTTAAGTCAGATACACTCTCCATCTATAATATCCATAGTGGCTTGATCACATAGCCAGAAAGTTTGCAAAGTTTTGGTTCATCTACAATATAAGTTTTTGCTGATTTGTGAGTCTGTAACTTTAGAGTTTAAGCTGGGTTTCCATTTATTTCTGAAGCAATTTTGCTTACTCTGCTGTTGAGCAAAATTAAAATCATATTATGTTCTAAAGTAAACCATTTATGTCTTTCTGATGAAACCTGAAAGTTTTTCAATTTATTCTAAGAAGTACATTTTCTGTTTTCAGGGACATTCAACTAATTATATTTTTCTTCCTCTATATATACAGTCTAAGAGACAAACATATATGGGAAATCTTATGTCTCATTGCATCTATAATCTGATAAAGATGGTTTTAGCCTTCTAAAAGTGAGAAGAAATTAACCATTTCACCCTGGTTTCAAAGAAACTTTGTGCTTCTAGGCCACAATATTGTTCATCCATAATAATTATTGTCAGCATACTGTGCACTTCTACCAATCATCTTATCTCCAATAAGTTCCCATGCATAATTTCAGCCCTAAAGTAAGAATTAAATGTATAAAAATGTATAAAAAACAAAACATACAAAAAAATCATTTAAAGTCATTCAAAATCTTTTCCTTTTAATTTTCCATTTTAAAATAGCACATTCTGCATTCAGAATGTTTTAAATCTCATCTAAAAGCTTTTTCTATTTTTAATTTTAATTAGTCTATATGATTTGGAATTTTTATGGCTTTTAAAGGTACTTTACTTTTTTTAACTACTGCTTTGTAAAACAAATGATTGCTAAGCATATAACCCAGCATTAGAAGAATACACAACTTTACCATGTACTGTCCTTAGGATCCAATTATGTCACTGACTGCTATTGTCTCCCCAAAGTTAGCCAGCCTATGCATCAATAAATTTTGTTCAAACATTTCAGACACCTTTTAAATATTTTCCCTAAGAGTAGGTAAAGTCCATGTGTACTGCTTACTTGGGCATCTGATGACACATTTTGAAATGAATCTGCTTCTAATTTTCTATTAGCCAGAAAAGAAATCAATGTTGGAAAGTCCCTCTTAGTCTGTTCACATGCATGTAAATATAACATTTTGATGCTGTGAAAGGGAGTTTCCCTTTTGGATTTCTAAGATACAGAAATGTCTTATATACCTGCGACTCTGATCATCTCATGTGAAGTGGCCAAACACGCTACTGTGGAGCACAATCTTTCAATGCATCTACAGCCACCCATTTTGGGTCTCTTCAAAGGGAAATGGCAGCATCACCCACTTCGATGATTAAACCACATCCGTGCAGTCTTTATTTCCAAGACAACCTTGCCGTCTTCACAGCTAATGAAAAGATGTGTTAAAATATAGACAACAAGCCCTTCCTATGTACTTTCAGGCAATCCAGTGGTAGTTAATAAATGTGTTTAGATGGTTTTATTTGTGGTGCCACTTTTGATAGTAAGGGCTACATTTGTGGAGAATAACTAGATTCTTATAATGTTTGATTCTTAATAATGAAACTTACCCAGTGTCATAGAGCATAGACAATATTAGTACAAAAGAAAAATATTTCTCTATCATACATATTTCGACCAGGCACTGACTTTTATTCCTGTGGAATTGAAAGCTTGCATTAAGAACACATTAGTAAATAACATCTACTTTGCACACTTTGCTATTGTTTTGCTCTGGTTGTCTTTTGGTTGTTGTGGAGTTAAAAGGTCTTGGACTTTTATATGCCATGTTCCTAAGCTTTGTCTAAGTAATTTCTTCAAAAGCTAGTAGATCTTGGTCTATTTCCTTGACGTTAGCTACAAACATGAATAAATCCTTCCGAAGATTCCTTTTTATGCTTTAAAAATTATTCTAATATACTTTTTTTTTCTTCTCTGTAGTACTCCATTGTGTAAATGCACCACATTTTCCTTACCCATTCTTCTGTCAAAGGGCATTTAGGTTGTTTCCAGGTTCTGGCTATGACAAACAATGTTGTTATGAACATAGTTGAGCACATGTCCTTGTATCACAGTTGAGCATCCTTTGGATAAATACCCAAAAGTGGTATTGCTGGATCTTGAGGAAAGTTGATTTCTAATTTTCTAAGAAATTGCCACACTGGCATTCAAAGGGGCTGTACCAGCTTGCATTCCCACCAGCAATGCAGGAGTGTTCCCTTTACCCCACATCCTCTCCAGCAAAAGTTGTCATCAGTGTTTTTGGTCTTGGTCATTATTACAGGTGTAAGATGGAATCTCAGAGTTGTTTTGATTTGTATTTCTGTGATGACTAAAGATGTTGAACATTTCCTCATGTGTTTTTCAGTCATTTTAGATTCCTCTGTGGAGAGTTCTCTGTTTAGGTCTGTACTCCATTTTTTATTGGATTATTTGTTCTTTTATGACCAATTTCTTGAGTTCTTTGTATATTTTGGAGATCAGACCTCTGTCTGATGTGGGGTTAGTGAAGATCTTTTCCCACTCTGTAGGCTGTCATTTTGTCTTGCTGACCATGTCCCTTGCTCTACAGAAGTGTTTCAGTTTCAGGAGGTCCCATTTCTTAATTGTTTCTCTCAGTGTCTGTGCTACTGGGGTTATATTTAGGAAATGGTCTCCTGTGACAGTACTCCCGCTTTCTTTTCTATGAGATTCAGTGTGGCTGGCTTTATTTTGAAGTCTTTGATTCACTTGGACTTGAGTTTTGTTCATGGTGATAGATATAGGTCTATTTTCTTTCTTCTACATGCCAGCACCATTTGTTAAATATGCTTTCTTTTTTTCCATTTGATATTTGTTGCTTCTTTGTCAAAGAACACAAAGGTGTTCAAAGGTGTGTAGATTAATATTCAGGTATTCGATTCAGTTCCATTCGTCCTCCTGTCTGTTCTTATGCCAATACCAGGCTGTTTTCAGTACTGTAGCTCTGTAGTAAAGTTTGAAGTCAGAAATGGTGATGCGTTTAGAAGTTCTTTTATTTACGGGATTGTTTTGACTATCTTGGTTTGTTTGCTTTTCCATATAAAGTTGAGTACCGTTCTTTCAAGGTCTGTGAAGAATTTTGCTGGGATTTTAATGGACATTGCTTTGAATCTGTAGATTGTTTTTGCTAAGATTGCCATTTTTGCTATGTTAATTCTACCTACCCAAGAGCATGGGAGATCTTTCCGCTTTCTGGTGTCTTCTTCAATTTCTTTCTTCAAAGATCTAAAGTTCCTGTCATACAAGTCTTCCACTTGTTTGGTTACAGCTACTCCAAGATATTTTATGCTATTTGTGGCATCTTGAATTTTACAGGCAAATGGATGGACATAGAAAACATCACTTTGAATGAGATAACCCAGACCCAGAAAGACAATTATCACATATACTCACTCATACATGGTTTTTAAACAGAAAGCAAAGAAAACAAGTCCAGAAATCACAATCCCAGAAAACCTAGAGAACAATGAGGACCCTAAGAGAGACATACATAGATCTAATCTATATGGGTAGTAGAAAAAAATGAGATCTCCTGAGTAAAATGGGAGCTTGGGGACCTTGGGAGAGGGTGGATGTGGAGGAGGGAGGCAAAGAGGGGAGCAGAGAAAAATGCAGAGCTCTATAAAAAAATCAATAAAAAAGGAAGAGGAAAAATATTCTAATATAGTCCTGCATTCCGTGATTTGATCACACATACCTGCTTGCATCATTCAAATCTATAGATTTATATAGAAAGATAATTTTATCACTCTTGCTTGGATAGCTATGATTTATACTCTCATTCCTTCCCAATCTGGGTGCAGTAAAATATGGGAACTACAAACAGCAGAACTTCATATTTTGGGTTGCAGGCCTTTCCAATAGGTAGATTCCTTTCCCTCACTGTTTGCCACTTGGCTATTTTATGTGTGATTCTCCCATTCTGCACCTTAATTAACAAAATTGAATACTTTAAAACCAGTTTTCTATGAGCAATCAATTTATTGTGTACAACATTCAACTTCCAAAGTTTAAAAGACCAACCACTTTACCAGGTACATTTTATCTTATACTCCTGCCCTCCGATTAGTTCTGTCTATTTTGCATTTTCTGTTACTGAATTAGAATATGCACATATTTATATTTGCACAGCATCTTATATCTTATCATTAGCTTGTAGAATAGCTATAGGATATGATACGTTTTGAAAATGAAAATATGGACTTTAAAATGCAGTGATGAGCTGAGTTACAGTTGTTTCTCTTGTACTTTCCTATATTAGATGCATTCACATCCAATTTGAAAAGATCAACTCAACGGCCAAAACAACTAGATGTACATTTAAAAACTTAGAAAGGTTCTTACTGATTATCCAGGGTGTGTTGTGCACACACACACACACACAATTCCCACATCAAATTAATGCTCTGTCTGTTTAGGGCTTTCTGTACCGAAACCATCTTACTTCTTGGACTTTTAAGAATAAATAAAAACTTACAGACAGATTTAATGTACCATTTTGGTAAAAGTATTTTGGAGAAATTCTCAATAATTTAGTATTTCTGTCTGTGATCTAATTCAAAATTACTTCAAGTATTGTTATTCAACTCACAGGACAATATTAAATAAAAGCAATGACTCTAGATAATTGAAAACACTAACCAAGTATCTACTGGTACAAAGCCCAATTGTACCAACTGTATTTACTTAATGAATTATATTTAAGTGTATTTTTGATGAATAGAGAGATTTCTTCACTTTAGATGATATATAAATATATACTATATCTACTTATAGAATTTTTCTAAATTTCCTACACGGTATTTTTAAAAAAATGCATTTCTGATAACATCTACTTGACTTAAATACCACCTGAAGATTTAACAGTAGTAGCTACTACTTTATATTGTGCATGCTTTGTATAAATGGCTCCATTAGGTACATATACCATTCTTAATATAAAACTTTGTTTGCATCCCAAATATAGAAAGAACATTCTCCGCTTCTTAGATGCAGAACGTGATGTCTCTGTGGTCAAGAGCAGTTTTAAGCCTGGTGATGTCATACACTATGTGCTGGACAGACGCCGGACACTAAATATTTCACATGATCTGCACAGCCTCCTGCCTGAAGTTTCACCAATGAAAAACCGCAGGTTTAAGACCTGTGCCGTCGTTGGAAATTCTGGCATTCTGCTAGACAGTGAATGTGGCAAGGAGATTGACAGTCACAATTTTGTAATAAGGTGAGCATCCTTCTGTTTTTTTGAGACTGCAAGTATGGCAACAACATTTTACTTAGAATCCTGTAGGAACTGTTTGAATTTCATATTAACATTAAATATTATTGATAACTCTACCATGTATGTGTCATATCCTTTGCAGTGCTATCCACAAACAACCCTTTATTTTGGTTTAGAAATTTAATTACTGTATCATTGGAAGAAAAGTTGATTACCTTGGAGTAGCATTTTGCAACATATTTTAAAGACAGAGGCAATGATTATGTTAATTATATTATTACATACAGAGACAAACATTAGTTTCTCATACCTCTTCTTTTGGTCATCATTTTTCTATAACTTAATTTGTGGAATGAAGATTATTATGTAGTATTGTCAAAGACATAAATTAATTTTGCTATTTTTATTAATAATTACTTAGCAGTTGCAAAAAAGCTAAGTTAGTGAGTTTGTATCTACTATCCTGGGTTAAATTGTCTTTATTGTTCATTATTTGTGTTATTGGAATGATATGTTTTTAAGTTTAGCTTTCTCACATATTTGAACACACTCATTTGTTGTTCATTAGTGATCAACATATCTGACAAATGATGTCTTTGGTTAACTTTTCATTAACTTAAAGAAGTAAACAGCTGATCATGTCTAAAAATGTTAAGCAATTTTTTTTCAGTTCTAGCATCTGTACAGTTTTGTCATGTCTTATATCCTTAGGTGAATGAATAAAACAGTTGTGCTATTGTGTAAAATATATATAATGCGAAGGTTAAAAAGTGTCCACGCTAGCTTTAAACACTGGTGTCTAGATGGCATGTAATGGTGAAGAACACGTAAGGATTCTAAACACTCTCACACCCATACATTGACAGGGCAGGTAAGATAAGGCAGTGCAAGTACCAGCGTGTGTTAGAAAGTATTGCAACATGAGGAAGTAGATTTCAACAAGTGACTAATCCTGAAGGTAGTTGCACCAAACAGAGCTCACTTCTTGTTCCTCCTCCTTGGAACATAAACATTACAGGCTGACTGACCTGATAGATTCAGTCCTATTTTGGATGCTGATAAGAATACTGTTTTCCATGTGACAGGGGCTATAATCAGTATTGATTGCCTTCATATCAGTTCATTGGGGACACTTCCTTTCTTGGATTTATTACCCACTTACACTGACTGTAATTTTTAAATTATTATTATTAATCTAATTAAAACATTGGTATCTTATATTGTAATATTCCTTCAATAAGCAGATCCCTACCTTCTTTTATCACTTGCTGACTCTTGTTACTACAAACCACAGCCTTTCATTTTCATTTTTTTGAATTTATTTCCTAGAAATTGTTCATCTTTGTTCTGGTCTCATTCTCTTGCAACAGCTTGTATGTTTGAAAAGCCCTGGTATCTGATCAGCTAATGATTACAATTTTCAGTCTAAGAATCTTGATGTCTGTGTTTTGGAGAGACAAAATTCTCTTTCTTAGTCTTAAGGAGCAATAGACAACATCAATCCCCACACTGTTCTACTATGGACAAGTAGAACGTAGATCACAATGCTACTCTGCCTAACCTCCAGCTAAATGTTGAGAAGCGGGGGTCTGGCTATTGTTGTCTCTTTTCTGCCTTTGATGAATTGGGCACTTAACTTTGCATCTAACTTTTAGACTTACAATTCATATATTCTGTTTCAGATCGCTAACCATCAAATACATTTTAATCATTTGCATTTTGATCATTTCTAAGGAAAGCAAACTCTGGTAATATCCAGTATGATATTTTCATATTTGAACCCTACAGTCTGTGTCTTCATTATCATTTTTCTGCTTTAGTAATGATTGGCAGGTGTATGTGGGGACTTATTTTATTGTCTGGAACAGAGTTGTCTCTCACCTGAAAGACAAACAATAAAAGAAATGTGGTTATACATCCTCCATGAGAACCCATTTGAATCCGGTTATATTTGGTCGTCCAATCTTGTATGTTTACCAGATGAGTGGTTTGTCTACTTATGAATTCACAAGTATTCTGTTTTCACCTACAAAGATTAAAAGGCAACATTCATTGCTTAATAGCTAACAATAATTGTAGGAAACTACTTTAAAAACTTTGATAATGAGATCGAAGTAATTCACTGACTAATGGCTTCTTTCCTGGAGGTTTCCAGTTGCTTTCTCTCCCAGGAAAAGGACCTAGATGGACTAAATTATACATTATTACATGTAGCTATATGCCACATGTAATGTAATTGATTACAGCATCAATTATATATCACATGCATACATACTAATGTATTATTATTTAAGATTCAAATTCCTTTTTGTGGCAAATGTACATGGGAAAAATTATATTTATCATAAAGCAGCCTTGTTCCTTCACCACCCTTAGCACTGCACTGTCAACATATCAGCAATTTTCATAGACAATATTTTCAAATGGAAAGATACGGCATTGTCACCCTGCTACCATCCTTTTTTGTTTAGAAATTAGTCCTTAAAATATTTCCTTAGCTTCATGCTTTCTCCTTTATTCTGAAGATAGACTCCACCTTAACTGCAGCATCTGAAACATTATTGCTATTCTAATCTGTCTCTGTTTCCTTGCCTTTGATGCTTAAATTTAAATATATATGTATATATACATATATGTATCTGTCTTTGTTTTAATTAAATTTACATTTTTTACTTATCTATTTTTTAAAGTTTTAATTTTTGTTGCTTGGTCTTTTGTTTGCTTGTTTGTCTGTTTGTTTCCAAGACAGAATTTCTCTGTGTAGCCCTAGCTGTCATGGAACTCATTCTGTAAGTCCTGCTGGCCTCAAATTCAGAGATCTGCCTAGTTTTGCCTCCCAAGTGTTGGGATTAATGGCATGTCCTGCTGTGCTCAACTTTATAATTTTCTAGTTAAGATATAATGACATCACTTCCACCTTACCTGTTCTCCATTTAAGCTCTGTGATGTCTCCTCCCTTCATCTCTTTCCATGCCTCCCCACCCCTTTGAAACTGATGGCCTCTTGTATATATACATAAGTACATAAATACCACCAATCAAGTTCATTTTTATTGCTGTGTGCTTATATTTCCAGGGCTCACCACTTTGTTTTGGATAACCAATTGAGGGTCCATACCTAGCAGAGGCTAATTCTCTCTTTCAGTAGTCATTAAATTGCCTGTAATCTTTTTCTGGGGGTGGATCCAGTGAGATTTTCTCTTCTCATGATAGCATGTTTACTAATATTATAAATGTTCAGAGTTATGTCATTAGCCATATTGGAGGTATCAGAGGTGTAGCATCCCTGTCATTGCTAGTAGACAAAATAACAACAGCCTTTTCCCTCTGTCTCTTACAGTCTTTCTGTTCCCAAGTTGTAGACATATCCAATGGAACTGGGCTCCCACAACCCATTTATCTCTGTAATATCAGATTTCTGTATCTGTGATATTCAACCATTTCCCATATAAAAGTTTCATAAATATGTGTATTTATATAAAAAGTAAAGAGAAAATATTTAATAAGCATTTCTAAAACCATAAATAGAAAATACTTTCAACTGCACGATGACGAATGCTTCTTTATGTACATACCTCATAATACCTGGTCCACGATTCCTTACGTAGCAGATCTGACGTTTCAGCAAAGAAATCTTAAGACAAAAGTCAGCCCCCGCTTCAAGTTGAAACAATCTTGCCCTGACATCTCCTCTGATAGAGATAGCTGTGGGAATAACGGGACCCTTTGGCATCGGCTATTTTGTCATTCTGGGCAGGAGGACAAACAGAATATTTTAATCTCGTACTTATACACCAGTTATGTACCGCATCCACCCCCACCTGCTTAATAATATGAGCAAATAAGAGCATAGAATGAAATATTATTTCAGCTTTATATCTCAGAAGCTTATTTTTGAAAGATTCCAGGAAATTTTGTTCAATTTAGATGTCCTTTATTTAAATTGCAGTAAGTTATGATTTTTGTATATCAGATTCTACACTGGTGTTGCAGGCACAGACTGTGATCTATACAAAAGAATTAAGCTCTATGTATGATTTCATCTTTAATATTTTTTTCTCTTGAGGATAACCACTTCTATTGTTCAAGAAACATTTGTGTCTCTGATATTGTTAAGTACAGCAAGGTTTAATTTGAAGCCTTTCAGCTTTTTTTATTAACTAATAAAGGAAATATCACAAATATTTGCTTTTCTGAGTCTACCTATACTCTTAGCATCAATAACAGCGCTCTGTGCAAACAAAAAAGGAATATGTCATATTAAAATTATAAAACTTGAAATATTTCTGTCTCTTAATATTCAAAATATCATTATATTTAGCATGGTTAGAAGTAACATTTTTATTGTGGTTTTTTTATGTTGTTTGTTTTGTTTTTCTGAGACAGGGTTTCTCTGTGCAAATTCCTTGCATTGTAGATTAGGCTGGCCTTGAACTCACAGAGATGTGCCTGTCTCTGCCTTCCAAAGGTGTGTGCTACTATACTTGGTGGCTAGAAATAATTTTATAAAATTTACATTAAACTGTTCTTCACATTGCATACAATTGTTAATTAGAACAGTTCAAGTTTATATTACTCTTGTACCTATTCAAAGTAATCTGTTATACAGGAAAACACTAGTTTATTTTAGAAAAACACTAATAAATCATGATAGTACTTAGTCTCAAGTAACACTTGATATGTGATACCATGGTCCAGTCAAAAGCAGATCCAATTACAGATCCGCGTATCTATGAATCCTTTTTACAGGAGACTGAGGCTGCAAAGGTCAGAAAGAGTCACTGAGGCAAAATCTCTGAAGATACCTGGTGAATGAGAAGTAGTTTTCCACGTCAGTTATAGCCAAGAATAGAGAAAGACTTATAAAACATTCTAGAGAAATAAGAGGTAGCTCTATTATTGAAAATAGTTATTCAGCTTTAGAATTTAAAGTAGTTTAAAGGATAGATAGATAGATAGATAGATAGATAGATAGATAGATAGATATCCTAATCACGTGTTTTT